CAATAACTAAAAGACTCATTTCATCAACAATAGCTAGAACATATGACCCATTGGGCCTTTCAAGTCCTATTATCATTGTCACTAAGATTATTATTCAAAAGCTATGATCCCTCCAAATTTTATGGGATGACTTGATTCCCTCTGATTTGGAGAAAGTTTTTATTCGATGTCAGCAAGGCTTAGACTTTGTTAACATTTTAGATATTCAAAGAAATGCAATACCATTTGGTTTCAAGTTGGTTGATGTTCATTGCTTCTGCGATGCATCCAAGGATGCTTATGCAGTCTGCGTCTATTTACGCACTTGGAACGAAAATGGTGTTGTAACGTGCCAAAATTGCCTATAATTATTCCTGTTCTAAGTCCCTCTTTGGGTCTTCATCATTTCCAGGGTTGTTATTGGCGCCTTCTTTATCTTCCCTATCATTTAAACTCCTAAAGATACATTGTCTAAAACACAAGTGAACAATGTTACAAAGAAGTTACATTTGCGGGAGGAAAGTATCCTACCTATTGATTGATTACATTTTATTTAATATTCCAAATTCGGGAATACAGAAATAATTTAGGTAATACGTAATAACAAAATAGGGAACAATTAAGGGGCCATAATTACATTTAAATATGTCAGTGCTGTGCTCTGATTGGATGATTTTTTAAAATAGGTCTGCAAAGCGAAAAAAAAAAAAACTCAGAATTGGCTCAAATTTGGCATAAACTTTTCTTGATCGATTATCTACAATCCAAATATTTCAGGTTTTCTATATCTGGTTGTCTATCTTTCAGGGTTTAGGTCGTTGTGATCTTTGGTTGTGACCCTTTCTTGAAAAATAAAGATTACACAAAAAAAAATGCGTGTAGGTATTAAATTTGTAGATATAATTAGAAAATATTTTTTAAATTAAAGTTAATACTAGCGTAATGGCACCAGTAATCGCCACTGAACCAGTAATTGCCATTTATTATTTTGAAATCCAAAAACAAGAACATATGCATTATTTCTGCACGGATAGCTCCATCTATGTGTAATTGCCACCATTTTTTCTTAGTGACAAATACTGGTTCACTATAGTGACAATAATTATTGATCCAGCAATGATGGATGGAACGAACGAAAAGCCATTTTTTTGCTATTCGCAAGAAAGCATGGAATCTGCAATTGCTGCTTGTCGTGGAGGTATGCGTTTCTCAACGGCGACTCAGACATTTTCTGTTGCGAGAAATACTTTAAAAAATAAAGTTAAGGGTGCGATAAATGAGTCCACCAACTGTACTTACAACCAAAGAAGAAAGGGCTTTAGTTAAATGGATTATAGAAATTTTTAACAGGGGCTTTTCCCCACATAGGGATGATCTTCAATCACAAAAAAAAAATATGAAAAATTGTAATCCTGACAATCCATTTGTAAATGACAAACCTGGCAAAAAAGGGTTAACTTCATTTTTTAGAATAAATCCAGGAGTAGCCGTAAGGGTTCCTGAAACCTTGACTTCTACGAGAGCTTCTGTAACGGAAGAAAAGCTAAGAAATTGGTTTTAAGAGGAGCATACTCATTTAGAATAATGCTGACGTACTTAACCATCGCAAAAATTGCAAGATCCTTCAACTTACCTTTTCTTGCTCTTTTTGGAATACGTACGTCATCTTTTTAATAACTGCAACAGAGAGATGCAATCAAGTGAAGAGAAATAATAATCAATGTTCCATTACATCAAACAGACGTTAGGAATCTTCATAATTATAAAAATATATAAAATATATATTTAGGAGCTAAAATAAATGCATATCTTATACAAAATAATTTATTTCTGGCACAATTAAACATTCTAAGAATACGCTGTTTAGATGTTTATATTGGGGGTGCCACACAAATTCTAAAAAGGTTTGATTTTGCAAGTGACATTCGAAGAGCTATGCATTTACTTGATCCTAAAATTGTTTTTAAAGGTAACAAAGAAATTCTAATGACACTAGTGAGTAATTTCCAAATTATAGACAGTGAGTGGCGCCTATTAGGAAATTCAAATTTAAAATTTGATAGCAGCGAATCATTTTTTTTTTTTTTTTTTTTGATGAGGATAGAAAATGAAAAATATAGGGTTATCCAAGTTCACCTTGATAAAATAAATTAAAAAAAAAGACACTAAATATTGAGATTGCGATAAAGTTTTTATGGCATTATGAAGTGTGGTTATTGTCATTATGTGTGAATTATAATATCATTTCAATATCCTCCACGAAACCTCCTGCAGGACTCAATCCTGTTGAGGAAATTTTGGCAACTTTTTGGAACATTTCAGGCATATCCCGGTCATAACTTGACGAATATTGTCTTTCAACGCGTCAATCGTTAGAATGTTGTTGGCATAAACACTATCTTTCACATATTCTTACAAGAAGAAGTCCAACCGTTTTAGATCACAGGACCGTGTTGGTCAATTCACATCAGCCAATTTCAAAATTACTCGTCCTGAAAACTTTTCTTTTAACAAAGCCCGAAAATCTCGTGTTGTGTGACTTGTGGTCCTGTCTGCGGTGGTAAAACTATCCATATTCTTAAATGGCAACGGTTCAACTAAACAACTATCTGTTTTTTTAACATGTGTCCTTGACCGCTATCAAATGTCACGCGTGTACTTTCTCAAGCACAAAATGGATAACCCTATATATGGATGAAATATTACAGTATGCATTGTTTAGTAATTTTTCTCTAAATATACTCAGTTCGCCCCATTCATCAGCAAACGCTGAAAGCGTTTTTTCACAAGTGAATTCATTAAAAACAAAGCAAAGGAACTCATGAAGTACAAGTACTATTGTTACATATTTTGAAATTATTATAGATGATGAGATAATTGATAAATAAAAAAAAAAAGAGAACGCTGGATCTAACAGCATCATCTAGCGGATATTATACCTTTTATGAAAGCTACCGTTTCGAGGAAAAATCTACGGTTATTTGCCAGGGTTTTCTACCGTCATTCATCATCAACATCTGGTAGCACCTCCAGGTGGTATCAAAATATGGGCAACAACACTGCACAGTTGCGGAAAAAAGGGGATTTTTCCTATCGTAATTCACCTGTAGTACGTGCCATGAGCACTGACAGCAAAGCGAGGTTGAATGTAAAAATCGCTTGAGGTAAAAAAACCAGGGGCCCAACTTAGTTTACGCTGAAAAGCGATAGTTTCCTGGCGATGCCACTAGTGACGATCGGGTCGCATTGTACTAAGTTCAGTTGTCGCCACATCAGTCGTGCATCTTCGGGAGAAGCGACAATTTACTGTCAATTTGCTGTCAGTAATGAAGGTCTAACCTCAGAATTTAAATTAAAAAAAAACAAAACAAAACAAAACAAAAACAAAACAAACTGTTCATAGCTCAAGTTCATAGAATCATATTTTTGGTGTTTTGCGTCTAAGTAGATAGTAGATTAATAAATATGAGATTAAATAGAAAGCACTATGAAATAATAATAAATTTTGCTGAAAGATATCCAGAAATTATAGCCAACAAATTTGTTGGTCTAAATTCTCGGTAAAGATTCCGAAAAGTCTGGGATCTTTTGGCAAATAAACTGAATTCCTTCTGATATGGGACTTTGACTGTGGCTGAGTACAAAAGGATATGCATACTGATAAAAAACAAATCAGCGCTTGAAATAAACATTTTTTTCCAGAGATTGGCCGACTAGAAAAGCAAGGTAAAGAGAAAGCCAGCTAGTGTCAACAAGAGCTTATGACAAACTGGAGGACAGGGAGTCGGTACAATAATAACTAAACTGGAAGACAGGCTATTATGTCTTATTGGAGATAAAGATGATGCTGGGGATAACGTTTAGGAAATGGGAATGAAAAGAAAAAAAACTGATAATGTTTTGGATTCCAGTGAGACATTAAAAAAAGCTAAAAATATACCAGCCACAATAACGTCATTTATAGAAGAAACTTCTTTTGTTATGAAAAGCGTCCAATTCAAAGACTTCTGAGCAGCTGCCTTGAATAAATGCTTATGACTTAAATGGAATAGTTCCCGAAAATACTGGTAATATAATAGATGAAGAACCAGAGGAAACCATTACCTTGAATTGTGATTTTGTAGAATCTAGTAATACTAATATTGAATCTCAAACGAAAACCCCTCCAGTTTCTACATCTCGACGTAAAAGATTAAGCAACCTTGCTGACTCTGTACAGGAAATGAACAATGAAACTTCAGATGTAGGTACTTAGAAGAGCTGTTAAATGTGGAGAGAGTGAATACCAATTTGCCAGGTGTCAATACTAAATTTGCGTGCATAGAAATCGGCCCACTGCTAAATTTTGGCTTCAACTATTCTTTTTTCGAAACTATTCATTCGATTAAAACAAAATATATGCCATTTGAAATAGTATATCATTAGCAATGAAGTTTCCCGTCGAGGTCTGTATACTATTTTATTTGTAACCATAATTTCTTGAAAAAGAAATAAATAAATTCGTGACAACCAAATAAATGAGGTCGGAAAATGAGGACGGGGAATGAGGACGGGAAATGAGGACGGGAAATATTTTCCTGCTGAAGACGGAAAGAAATTCCCGTCCTCATTTCCTGTCCTGGGACAGGTAATGGACCAGGAAAATGAAAAGACAGAAATGTGACATTTTCAAATTTTTGAAAAGTCAGTAATGACAACATTTCATTTATGGTTAAAAAAAAAACAATTTAATATCATCTGATATAAGTTGTAATTATGTATTATAATAATATACGTATGAACAGTTTCTAAAAAAAATGGGTGGAGTCAAAAGTTAGCAGTGGGACGATTTCTATGCACTTAAGTGTACATTAGCAAACATATTTTTGTTCTTGAAAAGTCAGCAATGTACCCTGTGTTTTTTTTATTTATTTATGATATCATTTTGATCGCCTTTATATACATAATTTATGTACAGGTGATCAAAATGATATCAGTGGTTGTGCAATTGGTTTAATGAATTCATCTGGTGTTTTCTTTACTTCTGTTGGCGTGAGTATTTCTGTGATGTTTCGTTTGTTCTGGTTAAGTTCGGAATTTGCTGGTTCTGTCTCATGATTTGAAGTATTCGTGTCCATGCTAGGTTGAGGGGTGGCCTTGTTAGTTTCTGTTGGAGTATTTTCTTTAGGGGGTGATGTGTTACTTGATGATGTTGGGTCAATTTCATTACCATTAGGGCATTGCGATGCAATGTGTCCCGTCTGTTTGCACTCGAAACAGGACATTCAATTCTGGGAAAGAAATATGCGATAGGAGGTGTTATCTTGTGAAATAACTAGAGAGCTTGGTACTTCTATACTTTCGGAGGGGTGTATATAGACTTGCGGCCTATTTTCTTGAGCTCATCCTCTAAGAGTGCGTGAGGAATAGTGGGGGATACATTTGAAAGTAGCAGGCGCTGTGCTGGTGAAACTAGTCTGCGGGCTTCCAGTTTTTGTCCTTTAACGGTTATTGCTCCGTGTTGGAAAAGAACGTCGTCTACCTTTTTTTGTTTGTTAAATATATGCAGATCCGATTGTTTGAGATTCTTGATGTAAATGATATGTTTTTTGGTCCAACCAATGGATCTAGGGCGAAGATATATTCTTGTAGTGAAGATTCTTCTAGGGCACTAAACAGAATTGCCTGCTCTTTGGAAGGAAAGTTAAGGTAAGATAAAGCATCGGAATATGTTTTTTTAGAGCGAGGGGTGATTTTGTGATGGGGTTGGGATGTCAGTGAGAGCTTGGTTTTGGTTCTTGTTTCTGTTCCCAGAGCCATTGCCATTCAACTCATCCATTTTGATGGAAACTATTTACTAAAAGCCCTGGCAGTTAGATAATCGCAATGAAGCATCCATGCTGGCTTCGGAATGGGACTGGTTTTATGCGATTTATTTTCAGGACATTAATACTTCAATAAAGTGATAAAGTTTCTAGCAAAAACTACATTTTAACAAGAAGTCTCAGGAAATATAAATTTGTGGTTTGTAAGAATTATTTAAGACTGCCCTAAGTAATTTAAAGTCCCTAACAAAATGAATACAGTTGAGTTTTTTTACAGCACACCATTCTAACAAACTATAATTCGAATAACTAACACGTATTTACGGTTTTTTTTCAATGCTCTAAACACAAACTTCGAAATTTAGGCGTTTACACCCCTTTTGTCAGATAAACGATATATTTATTGAAAATATGTTAGTATGACTCGTCTTCTTGCTACAAGTCCTTCGTGGTCTGGTATATTGAGGTGATGATGAGATATTTGAGCAGGATCGTCAACAATAACATCTGGAATTTCTTGCAGCTTTCCTTGTGCCCGAATGTTATGCAAAATAGCACAGGTATTTATAATATTTCCAACCACATCTGGTGCATATCTGAGCTTATTTTCCCCTGAAAGGCATCGAAATGTAGCCTTGAAGACTCCATTGAGTCTTTCAAGTATTGCATTCCTTGCTCAGACATGATTTTTATTTGGTTCCCATCAATGCATTTCCGCTGTCGCGGTTTTTACCAAAGTAGGGGAAGTTGTGACGTTACAGATCAGCTGATTTGCTTTTGGTATTCACCATTTATAACTAATTATAAGCCAGCTTTGGACTTGAGTTAATCTTTTGGTTACAGCTTTTTGATGTTATTGTTATTATTTTGGGGATTGGTACTGATGTTTTGTGATTTTGCAGTTGTGTTGTGGCCTGGCATAATAGAAGAAGTATACCAATTATCCCTTAATTATAAAGGAATAGAGGTGTTAGTTGAGGTTAATGACCTGGAGATAGCAAGTTATTTGCTTAATGGTAAGTTAGATGCTTTACCATGTCTTTGTAACTTCAACCCAAAATTTTGGCATTTTTAGTATTCTTATTGGCAAAAACCTTCAAAAAACGGCGCTTTTTCATAGTTTTTTTTTTCTCAGATCCGGTAGCAGCACAACAGTATGTTCGGCAACTGAATGAATAGAACCAATTGCCTCAGGCTCTACCAGAACAGGATTTGCCAGAACTGGATATTGCTGTGGAAGACCAGATTCCAGGCTCGGAGAGACTTGCAAAACAGTCTGCCATCTGGTCAACAAAGAGAACAGCTTAATTTGACCAGTAGGCCACCATTCTGCTCTTAGAGCTTCGAAAAAAATGGTCGAATTAGTTTGCAGATAAGACGACTAGAAAGGCTAAATTGTGGGCCGATATTGCGAAGGCGATTTTCAAAAAAAAATCACAAATCTTCAGAAAGCATAAACAAAATACATAATTAACCAAAAAACTACTGGATCTGAAAAAGATGGAAATACCACCCTTTTACGAGGACAAAAATGAAATATTAGGTAAGCAGTTATTTTTGAAAGATACTTATGTTGTTTTTCATTAAAAAGTGGAAAGGCTAATAAACTTGTGCCACTCTTATTTTTTCTTCCATTTAAGGCAAACAGCATAAGGTGAATCCTGTGAATCTGATGGATACTGAAGAGGACATACCCATGACATCCGTAACTCGATCCACAAATGATCCATACACAAACTCTCATCCAAGCACTTCATCGGCCACCCCAACTGACACAAACGCTCAACCAAGCACTCTATAGGAAACCCCAACTGGAAGGCAAACTTTACCCCATAGCTCTGAATCTGACATTGAGAACAGATTTTCAAGGAAAAGACTCCTAAAAAAAGACTCCAAAGCAAATGACTTTATCAAGGAGATACAAAAAGATCGAGAAAAAAGATGCAGAAGCATCTCAAAAAAAAACTGATCAGTTGAGAGATAAGTTATTGAGATGCAAAAAGATCGAGAAAAAAGATGCAGAAGCATCTCAAAAAAAACTGAGCAGTTGAGAGATAAGTTATTGAGTATTTTAGAAAAGTGCCTTAAAGGGGCTAGAAAACATAGTAAACTTTAGTAAACATAGTAAACATAGTAAAACTTTACTAGCAGCAGTGACTCAGATTATGTTGTAACGAAGTTTCAGTATTTTTCATAAAATAAGTGCGCCTCCCGCTTCGACTTATTTTAATTATTAATTGCGTGAAATAATTTCCTATATTCATGGCGGTATCATTTAACCTTTAATGGCTAGGCAGTGGTCTATCAGACACCTGGTGAAAATTTTTTCCGGTTATTTTGAAAATACTTGCGTTTTGAGAGGTGAGAGATGTACCTTTCAGTGGATCACTGTCCCTCACCTAAGTAATGCGATAGCGTCAGTGAAGTGAGTAGTAATTTTTTATTTAATCCTAAAGACAGATAATGGTCTTGCTAGACCACAGCGTAGCGATTACTTAAATGCATCCAGGTAGCCCAAAATTTCAAAAATGGGCACAAAATCTTCAGGTTTTGATGAACTCGATAACGATATAGATAGCGAAGACGACTAAGATGGACTAAAAGCTGGTGCAAAGCAACTTGGAAATTGCCCCGCCCCTGAGGAAGTATATGGAGTCTATAATTTTCAAAAGAAATTATAAATGAAATAATTTTTCATACAAATAAGAAAATACCAAAGCTAAACTAAGTTTTATTGTTTAAATCAATTTTTAGTTTTGTTTGAACCAAATATTGGATATTATTCGAGATTAATTTGAATTTTAGCGCAAATTCTAATAGAGCAGTGGTTCCCAAACTTTTTTAACTTACCGCCTACTTTTAGAAAATGGGAATTATCCAGCACCCTCCTTGGCAGGTATCCAAGATATTGAAGCGGCACCTTTTTTTTGAAAATTTTCACAGTCGTGCGTTTTCTAGGCAAGGGGCTAAGCGTCAAGTTACCTCCTCAGTAGGATTTTGTCAGAAAATGACCGAATATGGAAATTTTGAGAAAAACCTGATACAGCACAGTTCAGCACACTTTAGATTGCATGAGAATCCATTTTTATTTCATCTTATTTCTAAAATGTTGGGAGGCTGAGCGTCAAGTTAGCCAGCCTTCCCAGTAGGATTTTGTCGAAAAATTACCGAATATAGAAATTTTGAGACAAACCTGAAACAACACATGTCCAGCACACTTCAGATTGCATAAGAATCCATTTTTGTTTGATCTGATTTCCAAAATTTTTGGGGGGGGCTCAGCGTCAAGTTAGCTCTCCAAGTAAAATTTTGTCAGGAAATGACCGAATATGGGAATTTTGAGAAACCTGATACAGCGCACTTCAGATTGTATAAGAGTCCATTTTTGTTTCATCTTATTTCGAAAATTTTGGAAACTGAGCGTTAAGTTAGTCCCCCCAATAGGATTTTGCCTAAAAATGACCGAATATGAAAATTTCGAGAAAAACTTAATACAGCACAGTCCAGCACACTTCAGATTGCATAAGAATCCATTTTTGTTTCATCTGATTTCCAAAATTTTGAGGGGCTGAGCGTCAAGTTAGCATCCCCACAAGGATTTTGTCGGAAAATGACCGAATATGAAAATTTTGAGAAAAACCTGATACAGCACAGTTTTGTGTTTTGGAAATATTGACAGTCGGAAATTGACTTCTTGGAACTTTGACAGGCTGTAAAACCTAAACGGTTAATTGTAGAAGAAAACCGATTTTACATTCCTATCTTAGATTTTCATAAACTATCATTCGACACCAACTTTGAATTTAACCGGAGAATAAATTCAATTGGAATTATTTATTCATGGATTAAATTCAAAGTTAGTGTCAAATGATAGTTTATGAAAATCTAAGGCAGGAATGTAAAATCGGTTTTCTTCTACAATTAACCGTTTAGGTTTTACAGCCTGTCAAAGTTCCAAGAAGTCAATTTCCGACTGTCAATATTTCCAAAACAGTTGAATTTAGGTATAGAGTATATCACATAAAATCTGCTCAGAATTTTACGTAGAATCCAAATATTCAATAATATACAGGCTATTCTATTTGGCAAATACAAGAATAGTGTAACACAGATTTTACCCGAAAGTATATTGAACTCTTTTTCTAATTCACAACGAATAACGTTCAATAATATGGTTGAAACTGTCAAGAAAAAGCAGAGAAAAAAACTGCAAAGATTAATTATAGAACAGGAGAAAAAATTTCAGCTATTCATCGATCGACAATAATTGGTTTCTTAATCTCACTGATGTTGTTTTTACTAGTAACGTTAAAACCTCACGTGCTTGGGGTGGAAAGTTTAATTTGCTATACGACAAAAAAAACCCTTCCAATTGAAAATCCTATTGTAGACACAGAATATATCTTGGATCGTTTTCTAGATGAAACATTAAAGTATGAAAAGCGATGTAAAATAGTTAA